CATTTCTTCATCTTAAGCATCAGAAGTGAACGTAGCTCATTTTATTTCACCAGGCATGCGCAGAAAAATATGACACAAAGCAATACGCAGGCATAAAACACAGACATTTTAGAAAGGGTGGAAATGGCTCTTGCAGTTAGCACCAATGAACACATTTTCTCAGTCCCAGATATGAATCTATGTCTCACTGTGCGTACAGAATGGTGATCTCCTATCGGTCTAGAATTCTTGTGGGCCCCTTGATAATGTGATAGGTGCAACCACATTTCGTATAGGACGAACTGAATTGTGTTAATGCAGAAAATGTTAAAAACACGTAGAGTCAGACATAATGATATGATAATGACTACGCTTCGTCTCTGTTAGTGCATCTTTTTATCTGAAGGGTTTCCGAAAGCTTATTTCCCTTTTCCAGTATGTAATGCGCATTGTACATGCCCATTGGTCAGTGTGCTGTCTCATATTCCAGAGTTCATATATTGAGTACTCGCCAGACTTATTCAGCGATCAGGAGGTGAATTTTAGTTACGCTTTATGCGTAAATACTTCAAACGAAATTTGCATACAAACGTGCACAGTGACCTGAAGGGGTCTTGACACGACTGGAGCAGAAATATAATCTAGTTACAACACCTGATTAAATTATCCTTCCACGGGTATTTTATCCTTTTCGATGAAATAGTGCATATGTTGAGAAAAACCTTCGATATGAGTTAGCTTTCTGTGGAAGGTATTTGCGATCTTCACAGCGCTTCGTTTGAAGATTTACGAATTTTCATCTCAACATGTTCTTTCCATTTAAAGAAAAATCAAATTGACCCTGATATTCATCGTCAAATTTCGGACCTTCTACAATCGGTTATGGTTGGCTGGATATCGGTAGACTGCCGGCATTCTGAGACAGGTATGCTTCTTTCGAATTTGTTATTTGTCCAGTAGTTTTTGTTTATTTTTTGGGTGGATCCAGATAAAACAGTTGGTAAAGACCTTCGGATTTCCTTTAAAGCATGCAGTGCTTCAGAGATAAATGATATTTGGAAGACAAGATGGATTAACTTTATCGGTGCTCCTAGCTGACAGTTGCTGCTTTATATAGGAAAACTTACAATTGTTTTATAGAAATCGCTTATTTTAAACCCTAGAATTCTAGGGTCTTCCTAGACACCCAACGTCGCTATTTAACTTAAGTGAAACTTATTTGCCAAAAAACGAAATAACCTTCTTAGCGGAAATCACCACATACTTATTTACAATACTTTCAAATACCTCTGTGAATCGAAAATTTGAGGCGATCCAAACGTGATCTTATAGTTTAGTGAAACACCCCTGAATTATATTTGAGGATGTTGCCCCCTTCCTTGATTAGCCGGAGATAATACTACCCCCAACTTGTACAATTACACACTAGTACGCTATAATTAATATGAGGATAGTCGAGAGGTCGCAAACCGTCGTCTCTGACGAGGGACCTTAGCTGATCTTGATAAGGACTTGCCCATAATTCCCTTAAAGTCTTATATTTGATATACTTACCAGTGAAACTATTATCGTGCAGGCATAACGCCCCTGATGCTATTTGCTGCTGCCGGACATCTGGATCTGGTGGAACGTCTGCTCAGTCTCGGCGCCGATGTTTTCATTCGAGTGGCACTTCCTCGAGCGGCACTGCCCCCTACCATTGTCACTATCGGCACTGTCGACGCTCTGAGTGGCCAAGTGATTAGCCACAAGAACAGTGAGCCGATGGTTGGTGCTAATGCTTATGACCTGGCCAGGCTCTACGGGCATGCTGAGATTGCTAGCTTGTTAAAAGCCCAAATGCAAGTGTTTACTTAACCTTTGAATACTCGTGGAAGGGGTGGGTCGTAAACGGGAATTTTGAAATGTTTGATCTTAATGCGTAAAACAGTGCACTAAACATACTAACACTCTTACTCCTGAAATCGGCCAACCGATCTTAGATCTTTCCTATAAGCTACTGCCAGCTGAAATTCTGCACCGAACTTACGTCATAATTAGGCTGCTTTGCTTTTACATATTTTAAAAAGTTATCTTGATTAAGCTAGTCCCACGTGGTAGCATTATCAACATTAACGGCCACCGGCCATCAACCACATATTCGATATGAACTCCATTTTGTGAACGTAATCTCAAACATATTCAGTTTTATTAGGAGGTTTGGCAGATTTGCTTAATTCGAGTTGACCCAGTCGTGAAAAACTCGAGGCGTTTGGCGGGATTTGAACCCGCGCATCAGAGAAGAC